GAAAGCTAAAGGAAAAATAAACAGACGAGAAAAACAAACAAAAAATTCCCCCACAGCAACATGCCACAGCAATGTTACTGAGAGCAAAAGCAAAGATCTAATCTGCATTCAGCATTAGGCATGGGATTCATCTCACCTAACTCCATCCATCTAAATGCTACAAGCTTAGCTTAAACCAGGTATCAGTCATCAGTGGAGAGAAACCAGAACCGTAAGGTATAATACATGCCACCTTGCTTTGCATCGGACGAATCTCTCTCCAGAGAGATTCATCAGCTGTGGAAGGACCTCAGGAAACTGAAAGAGGACAGCTACTGCCTGGTTAGACGATAAAATTTAAGAGGAAATCCACCCACTCTGTCTGAAATTATGGCATCCAAGCCATGCTAGAGTAAGTAACCTTAAAGGCATCAGCTCATGCAGCTTCCTAGCAGAAGTTGGATGCACAGTTTACAAGTACAAATGTTGCTTTTTGTTAAATGTCTGCAGTCAGGATTTGACAGGTTGCCAAAACACCCAGATTCAGGCTGAGCTCATTACTTTTGATTTTTGGACTCGGTACTGCCTCCTCAGCTCTCTCAATTCATATTAGAGGAGGTCGCTTACCTCTCTCTGCCCTGGTCCACTCTTCTACAGATGAGTGCATGATGCACAACAGATGAGATGCAACAGCAATAATGGAGAGTAGCACAGCATGGGGACCTACTGCTCAGAAATAGCAAGAATTTGTAACAAAACCCCAACATTACATGGTGTGGCAGGCAACAGGAACCACGGCTCACTGTTGGTCTTGCATTGTTCAAATGCCATCAGAAAACCTACAGCTTACCCTCATTCACTGCCACTGAGGAACGTGTTCCGTAATTGTGAAATGGATTTCAATGCGTATGTGGATGAGCCATAATATCAAAAACAGAAGTGGAGATTTTAGACCACTATATTAACATTGAACAGAGGCACCACCCTGCACGCTTTCAGGTGCTGAAAGATCAAATAATAGGAATTGCCAATGCCTGTGTTTTTTACATATAAATATATAGCAAGTGAACTAATTGAACAAAATGTTTACATCACTTCTAATTATATTTCCAATAATAAATTAGAACACTCAGCCTATTAATTAAACAGTAGCACTGAAAGTCCAATTTCTTCTGTGCCCCCACCCACATTTTTGCAAAAGGCTAATTTCAAAGCTTCTGCGTTCACTGATAACTACTTAAAAAAAGCTTTTTCAAAGAGTTAAACTAATTGCATGCATTCTGAAACAAAAGAACTGCCAAGAACTAGCTCTCAGTTGGAGAGGAAAGCAACAACGTGGATATAGAAGAACAGGAAGAAAAATCTGTGCCGAGCTTGTGCAACAGACAAGATGAAGGGGACCAGGAGCAACGAAACATTTTACTTTAGAATGTCATGTAGGAAAAGAAAACATCATTAAGTTTAATCACAAAAACAGCTGAAGGGGGAAAAAAAATCTACTTTTAGCCATTCCTCTTAACCCAGGGTTAGCAGACATTGTCAGACTAATTCAGTTTCTCATACTCGTACTTAAGAGTACTTAAAGGTTTACATTTCCAACCAGGAAATGCAATAAGCAGTTGGTGCCATTTAAGAACAAATTGTGTACACTTAAGCAAGGCATAACCTAACAGTTAGGTTATGTTTAGCAGTGAGTGAATCAGCCACTGTTGCCTGATCTTTCTCTAAAGGCAAGGATAAACCAAACTACGTTTTTTTAACCACCACAGTGACCCTTGCTGCTGCTTCCTAGGCATGGTGGCTCATGAAGTTGGCAGTTCAAGCTCTGATGAGCTTTGGGACTACTGAGTCCTGGTGAGCCTGGAAAGCCCAGGGTGACCATATTGTGAGAACAGGCTCTTTATGCACATTCCTATCACTCACACTATACACTTTCTAGTGGAAAATGACCCTCCTTGAGCACCCTAGACCCTGAGATACTGATCAAGGCTGCCATAACTGAAGTGTCCTGCAGCTTTAAGTACCCACTTGGCTCCATCTCAATCTTCCACTCACTTTTCCTCATGATGACGTTAGCAGCAGGATACCGCTAAACTCATTTTGTAGTTGGAGAATTAAAAATGTAGAGAAGCTAAGAAATATGTTTAAGTCATATTTGAGGCCCACTGTAGAAGAGAGAACTGACACCCTGTCGTCTTTGGCCCTGATTGATACTCTAAGCTTTGAGCCAGATTTGATGAGCTAATCCTCTAAGATGCGAGAAAAATCAGATCCTGTCTTAGGAACGCTACCAGGAATGGGATTCCATGTTCCCAAGACCTAGGGAGCAGCTATATGATTTTGCTGTGAACTCTGATATGTGTTTCTCACCTGAAAAGCAGCAACTGTAGTACCTCCCTCCCTCATAAGAAACCTCTCCCATGTACGGATTGGATAAGCAGCGTGTAAGAGCTAAACTATTATTATCTGTAATGTCCACCGGATTGAAGAAATAAGGCTCCATTTTAAAGACTGAGTTTACCAAAAATCTTGGATATGGCTCCAAGACGGGCTCCAAGGCAGCTGGAACCAGCTAAACGGGTCTGAGCAGCCTTTGCTTCAGCCAGGAAAACTCTGATGCTTAAATGAGAAACCCACCCAATAAATTAATTACCCCCTAAAATTTGAGAAACCCTACTGTCTGGTAGGAGAGTTTTCTTCTGCTCCCTGCACTCTTCTTGGTTCACAGGAGAAAATGATTTTCACAGGCAGGCTTTTTATTATGTAAATACCTGCGAGCACATAATGTGATGGTCTTTACTGTGTTACATTTCACAGTTTTGATCTTAATGAATTCACCTGCAGTGCTGAGCTTTCTTTTGTAACACTGATTGACACTGCAGAACAAACTTCAGAGGTTTTGCTTCTCATATCTGCAACTAGAACCAAGTGACCCTGGAGTGCTGGTGGACGGTAGCCTTAGAGGGCACTTGGGACCAAGAATTAAAGTATTATTTGTGTTGAGTATTTCTAAGAAACGTATGCACTTCTGCAATGAGATGAAGGCCTCATGTAGTGACTTGTCTTTGATGGTAGAGCAAACTGGTCAAACAACAACAGTATATCAGGTCGCACGGATCTGAGCCTTTACTCATTGCTGCATGCCCTTCTGTGCTCCTTCATCTCAATGATATCTGAACAGTTTGCCATCATGCAGTAATTTCAAGAGGATTTAGGCGCTTACGGGTCTTTAGACGTGTCCTAGCCGGACCAACAGTTCTCATCTAAAGCCCTGTGTCATGTGTAAGCACAGACAGCTTTAGTTTGGGGTAGTGATTTTAAAATAAACTGTCGCAAAGCATTGCCAAATCCTGAGTAATAAACACCTTGATGCCAAGACTAAAGTAAATGGTGAAGAGAACTGATTTACTGGGGTGAGGAAAGAAAGTACGGCATATACTACAGTTACCAGAATCTGCGCACTGCAAAGTCAGTCCTTTCCTAAAACACTCAAAGGCTGACTTGTTTTCCTGTGAATAAAAAGAAAAATCTATCTAGGCCTTAAATGAACCTAATTCAGTATTCTGGCACAACGGGGAGGACTTCATCTCACTTAACCTCACCCAAATCAAAGTTAAGCCTCTAAGTTTTAAGACTCTTGCTCTCATCAATGGAGAGCAAGAGGCAGGAGCAATGCCATGCATGAGAGGTGTGACGGGTCTCCTTCCCTGGTGCCTCTCTCTTTCTTTGGAGAGAATCTAGATGACAGCTTTAGCCTAGGAATTTAGCTTTCAGACTTCTGCTACCTCCCCACCTTGACTAGATTTCATATATAGAGTCACAGCAGCAACATGGGAAACACAAAGAAAAGCAAGAGGTTCAAGTTAGACATGTACATAAAAAGTCGGCAATAACCAACCAGAGTGTCGCTGGATGAAACAAAAATTTCTAGAATAAGTGCCATCGCTCTGTAGCTTTAGGGAGGCCTGGCCTGATTTTGGCAAGGACCATAAAGATCATGTCATAATCCGTAAAGAGATGCGTGTCTTAAGATAGCCATTCTACTTCTAAAAGCAAACATGTCATATGTTCTCCTAAAATATTACACAGGAGAAGAACGTTCTGATAAGGGATCTGCATGAAGAGAAGATGACCACCAGACATACAAGAACAAAAAGGAGATCACAGGATTTAAGTACAAGACTAACATGGGCATATAAGCAGAGATAGGAGAAAAACGGGCAGGAAAAGCTAGCAGGGAAATTGGTAAATCACCCCTGGAGCCTGCAGATCCTGAAAACACTGTCAGAGTCTGTGCCTCTCGTTTTAAGGATGATTGCACGTACACACCTAGCACTGCATCCAGTTTTCTCTAAAGACCGCCATTTAAGCCCCATGGCTACCAAGCCAGCAGCATTCCACGTCTGTAAGGATGTTGCTTTCTTTTTAAAACATAATGAAAGACAAAATTACATAAAAGGCTGAATTAGTTCATTATCACCAACTTTCAGTGTTTGACATCACTTTTCCTCTAAAAGTTAAGAGATCTAGAGCAAATCTTGGAATCATAACTGTTAGTTTAGGATGAGTTTAAAATTAGGATAAGAAGCTTTTGGGTTGCTCCTAAAGTTTTGGAGAGGTGAAAGGACTGGTAGAAAACCACAGCTAAATCACTGCCACGTTGAAATGGCTACTTATCATCCCATCAAAAAGCACTCTTTATTTGTTTTCCAAGTTCGCACCTTTTACTCAGCCGGTAGAAAAAGAAAGGAAATGCATTATTTACCCTTGCCCAGAAGATTTTTTTTTTAAATGCTGTTTTTACTCACAGCTCTAGCACGATTCTGGTAATTTAATCTAGCAAACAGCTCTTAGAGTAGCTGGAAAAGATGCTTCTTTTTATATGAGGTATTTTTAACAAGCAGCTGTGCCTTATCATTTGAGAGCACAGCCAACAGCGTGTCCATGCTCCGTCCTGAAGCAGCCCCTGCCAGCTCCTGTTTGGTACTTGCCCACGCAGCCCGCACAGAGTTAATCCTCACCTGAGGTCCCCAGCCGTGGCATGGATACAGTATCGCTGTGTGGTTCTCTTGGGGGCCCTGGTCAAGACACACGTCTTTCGCCTTGTTGTTTCGAAGCTGTGGAAACGAATATTGTGGTGCATAGTTACATGGCCCTGTCTGACCGGAGGTGAACTGCAGTGATGCACTGGAACAGGTTGCCCAGAGAGGTTGTGGAGCCTCCTTCCCTGGAGATATCCATCTGGACACAATCCTGGGCAACGTGCTCTAGGTGACTGTATTTGAGCAGGGGGGTTAAGCTAGATGATCTCCAGAGGTCCCCTCAAACCTCAACCATTCTGTGATTCTGTAAACATATTTTACTATATCACTGGACATAATCGAGCATAGATTAGTGGTCCATGTTATGCTTTTTTACATAATAATCACAATTCAAAAAAGCCAACTTTCTCGATCACAGCTTTCTTTATCTTTGGAGTTCTTTATCTTTACGTGTGGTGGCAACAAACATATTTTTAGACTGCCATCAGTATGTTGCCAGGAGCCTGGAACCCGTGCAAAATTGCTTATATTTCACCACAAAAAAAAAAACTTGAACTGCTCAACAAGCTAGAAAAAAAAAATCTAACTAGCACAAGGAACCCCTTTGAATCATTGTATGGGTGCAGGAGACACTGCGTTGGCAAACTAACCGGCCAGGTATTCAAGGATACACTTCAGAAGGAGCGCAAAAACTGCTGAATTCATGCCGCAAAGTGAAATAATGACTGAGTTACTGAGTCTGGTTAAGGCACAGATGTCGTCTCTTGAGTCTCCTCATATAGAGCAACTGCAATGAAGCACTGCCTTTAAAAAGACTGCTTTTGCGGGGTTTTAGCTGGAAGGCATTAAGTAACTTTGATAAGGAAATTTTGTTAAAGTTAATGTCCGCCTGGGGTGCTTGGTCTGTGCTACAACAGGCCTCCTCAAACTGTCATTATGCCAGAAGTGATCTATTGCAACTGATTATTATTAGTTCCCATAAATGCCTGTCTTCATATTCCTACTACTGTCTCAAAGCCAACACACATTGAATTGAGTCTCCTTCCTTACTTTATCAGTTGCGACAATGCACTGTATTCTACAGAGAGCACGTAAGAAATTAGGCTGAGGTTAAGTCAAAGGGCTTTATATAAAGACTATGTACTAAAACTATATATTCAGCTACTTAATCCATGGATTCAGTGGGTAATATAAATAATTTTGTGTCAATTCAGTAAATAAGGTATTAAAATATTCTACTGTATATGGATCTCCAAGATCAGAAATAAATCCCCAAATAGGTTTTTTTAATAAACTGCTAACGTATTCATATACATTTATATAGTTATACAGTAACAGTAGGTTTTGATTCATATTTATCTTCTTGGAGGCTATTTCTCATCAAAGCCTTACCAGTAGTAAATATTATCAGTCTGATCAGTCTGGATGGCCTTAATTACCTCGCCATAAGCAATGGTGTTGTTGTATCTTCTCATTTCTGGATAAACATGGTCCAGATACCACTGGAAATTTTTACACTTTAAGCTCTTCCTTAATGCTTTTCTCTCAGAGACATCCCCAATGTCAATACCTGGATTCTGAAAAATAAAGACACAGCATTTCACTAAATAGCTATTCGTGTGAAAAGAAAAGAAAAATTGATTGCATTTCACTGCTTTTGCTTCCAAGCAGCTTGGAAGCTGCCAAAAGTTGAACAGCTCAGTGCAGAGGCCACGCAAGGGAATTCTGGCGCGCTTCCAACACAGAAATCGTCGTATCGGACGTCAAAAGGAAGACCTGCATTTCACAGTCAGGAGAAGCATCCTCCTTCGGTATGTTTTGAAGGTGTTCTCCCAGTGGCCATCAGACTGATGCTGGGCACATTTAAGCTGTGAGAGGTAATTTAGAAAAGAGAATCCAAATGGAGAAAACGGAGGAAAAGATTCTGGAAGAAATACAAAAAAGTGCAGTGTAACAAAGGGGAACCTTTCCTTTGATTCCCATAGGCTTTGGCTCAGTCTCAAAAAGAGAATTTTTCAAAGGGCACAATGCCAAAATATTTTTAAAAGCTCTCACCTCTCATTTAGGAACTAACATACTGGATGTCCAAATGAGCTTAAAAGCAAATGCAAATAGAAATTTAGAAGATGGTCATGTGCTAAATCCTGGAAAAGGAAACCCCTCTCTGTGCAGTGACCACTAAAACACCTTCCCCTTACACACTAAGGATGTGTGACTACTAAGAGGTGACTGAGAGGACAGTATGGTTAGAAAGGTATAAAATGGGGGGGGGGGGGGGGAAAGAAAAGGTTTAAGATTCATATATAATAAAAGAGGTAGATAGCGAAGAATAAAAGATAACATTACAGGAGAATAAAAGTTTAGGCTGAACTTCAGAAAAACCCCTTGACAATTTGGACAATTATGGCGTGAAATAGTCTCCCTGGAGATATAGTGGAACCCCACTGCTCACGTTGATTTAAAAGCAGACAAAGCTACAATATCTGTCCCAGTGGAAATAATCTCGCAGGAGCCAGGAGCAGCGACTGAGGAGAGCGGCCCCTCTTCAACCTCTTATTCCATTACAGAATCTGGGGAACTAATGCACCAGCAAGGTGAAAAAAAATTAAAGGCACAAAGCAACCACTTTATTCCTTTCTATGGGTGTCTGGGCTCCTATGTTTTTTTAGATCATGCTCTTGTCTTCTCCAGTGATCATTAAATAGAGTTGGGAAAGCAATTTTCCATTACAACACTTGTAATGATCTTCTAATGAACTATTCACTCTGCTTACAGAAGATACCACTTTAATGTGCTACTGGTAGCTCATAGGTAAAAGTAAACATGATTCAGCGCAGACAGGTAGGACAGTCTCAAGTCTGAACAGACAAAACAGGATGCTGAGCTAAGTAGACCCACAAACTAGTTTGAGCCTGAAATATTCAGTGCATGGCTTTTGCTTCGTTTTGTATATGCTGACGTTGCAAAATAATTCAATGTACATTCACATCTCACTGCATGATACCACCTGTCAAACAAAGCCTCTCTAAAATTAAATCCTTACAGGTTTACTGATAAGAGCTGTATCAAAATCCCAAGTCTCTTTTAGGGTACCCCGGGTCCGCTTCTCCAGACCCATCTCCAGTTTTGATTCCACCTGATGCTTCCTTTTCAGTATTAAACAGGAACTGTGGCTTCGTATTTAATTTTAACCCCTTTGGGCTGCACTGCAAAGCCTTTCCTTAGCAGAAATGTGGTGCCTCACCGCTAAAACCAAATCGGCCTAGGGACTGGGTCTGAACTGGCTACGGCTAATGATCCCCGCCCATGCGGGTTTGCATCTTGCAACCTGTTTTGAAGAGAGATCTGATATTAATCAGTCCTGCAGGCAACTCCCCGCCAGCGCCTTCCTGCAACTTGCCAAGTAAACAGCATCGCTTTCAGCCTCTATTCATCTATTTCTCGATAACAAACTCATCCAAGACGCTCCACCACCCACAGTCCGTCAAACCAGGAACTCGGGCAGCTAATCGACCCTTCCCAGGTCCCTGTTGTTCTCTAATGCAGTACAAAGTTGCTACTACTGTGGCTCTAAATACCAGTAAATCTCCCCAGATGTAACCTTTCCTCCGAAAGCAGCAGCAGCTCACATTTAATGTTTCTCAAAACATCTAGCCGTGAAGAACAGCACTACCAGGCAGGTCTGCTACTGCAGCAGGATCACAGGGCGCCGGTACCGGCGCCCGCTCTTTGCCAAGGGTGTGATCTGCGAGGTGTGAATGTTTCCTGTTTATTTTTGCCACTAAAAGGGCAGATGGAAATAACTGGTCGCAAGGGGCCAGGCCACAGATGTCAATAGCTTTTCCTCACGCTTGGACAGCACAGCCCATCGCTAACACGTATGCAGCCTGCAAGCGAACCACGAGGCAGGTAGTTCTGCGGGGCAACCCCTAGCCCCCGTCCCCGGAAAGTCGGGACATGCTCCTGGGCTTCGTTATTTTGGATGCAGCCTGTACAAAGACTGAAGTCTTTGGATCTGTGTGAAGTCCTCCTGGAGCTTAGGGAGCTTCACACAGAAGTCCAGGGGATCCCCTAGAGATCCAGCTGCAGAATCTAGCCCTCGGGCAAGGTCAGCCTGCCTCGCTGGCAAGCACCTGCAGTTTTCCAGAGAAGATGCACCATGTTGCTACAAGGCAGGATTTCCCTGAAGAATGACATGTCGAATCTAAGAAAGTCCAAACATTTCCGAATGGAAATAAATATCAGCACCAAAGCTACCCAAACATGGTGTTTTTAGAGCAACGGCTTTTGGAGCATTTGAAGCTTTTGGAGATCTCATTTTCTGAACTGCCGCCCTCCTCTCCCTTTACTTCCAAAGACTGTTTCTAAGTGCTGCTAGCCTCTGGGCTGCTCCGGCACAGGGCAGAGACCTGACTCCAAGCTCTGGGATGTGAACGGCCTGGGAACTCAGACCATGCATTTTGCAGGACACGCTGTCTGCAATGAGTTCTGGAGAGCAACAACACGGTGCTAGTCATAAAAACGGAGTTGGCTGTTGCCACAGGCCTGCACACGACATATACCTACCAGAGCTGCAGGAAAGAAACTCATTTATTAATATCAGCATTGTTAGCAATTTTCTGTCCACTGATTTTACAGAAAGACTCCATCTGCAGAGCAGCGTAATGACATAAACTCACGCTGTGTAAACACTGAACGGGGAGATAAACGCTCTGTAATACAGGTTGAATTTTTAAAAATTGCACAACAGACGTGAGTTTGCTGAGGCAAACCATAGGAATTCCACCCAAGTCTGTAGCCTTTGGCAGCATCTCCATCCAAGCCGAGAGAGCTGTGCTGATTTCCCCAGCTGAGCATCTGACCATCTGACTGATATTTCAGGCTCTCTTTCACACAGGGGCACTAAATGCTCTGTAATTTAAGCTCTTAACCCAAAGAAGCGAAGGCCAGGAGAAAGGCACAAAGGCTGTACCTCCAGTGGCAGGTTCCACGCAATGTAGACGTGGGATTTGTAATCGTCCATCCACACCTCAGCAACTCGCAGGGCGTTGCGCTTGGTGTAGAAACCAATGTTGTTGTTGTAGGGCTTTTTCTTGCGTTCGATGTGAGCCACTCTCGAACACGGTAGGACCTCCATGCTACCACCGCACAGCCACACCTGGAAGGCAACAGGAGAGCACAGGCATCAGTGCATCGCTAAGGCTCTGACACGAGTAGAGAGGGTCCACGTACAAATTAAAGGCAAGGAGGTGGTGGGTTCTGAGGTTTCTGTAACATGTTTGGCGAGCACTGAACATGGAAACGGGCAGTACTGTCTTAGGCTCCAACCGTGCAAATAACGGCGGTGCTCAGCACCGAGGGGCCAGATTGCCTTTACTCTGGCCACGCATGACAGCAAGTCACATATGAGGAAAATTTAACTAGTGCTCACAGCAAAACACAGGTTGACTTTAATGGGATCAGGACTATATCCAGCACATGCTATTAATGTTTCGCAGATTAGGTGCTGAGTTTACAGGGATGTTTCTACTAAATAAAAAGGATTAACAAATGGAATATTTGAAACAATTGCAAGATCTCACTCTGCATAAGGGATGACTCAGTGAAACATATGGCAGGGACAGATTTCTCCCCCTTGAAAACATTTGTTCATTATTTTTCTTTCACATGCTGTTTAAAATTTCCTTAAATCACAGTTTACAAGTTAATAAAATAATTTCAGATCTTGTTATCTCACAGAAATGGAATTCACATAAAGACGCACCATACCTGATTTCTTCACTCACTGCTTGCCTTCACCAAGAAATTATTTATTTTAAATTAATAAAGACCTGTATCCAGGACTCCAGGCACAAGAGGCAATTGGTATAAATACATATGCCAAGTAAGCCTAATAATCCCAGTTTCGCCTATTTTGCAGTCTGCTGTTAACGCTATCACTTTGCACAGTTGTTATAACACCCATAGTTTCTGGGATCTTTTCCAGACCCACCACCTTTTAGTCCATCTGTGTTCCCTAAATTTTATTGACCCTGTTCAATACGCTCTCCCAGCACTACCATGAGCCACACTGTCCATGAGCCTCGCTGCAGAAGAAGGGCAAACCCGAGAACAGCACCTGTGAAGGTATTCGGCGTTTCAGGCCTCCCGAGAACATGTTATATGTTTAGCAATGGGTGAGACCCACCACTCAGAAACCACCTCTCCTCCTTCCTGTGCAAATAATGTCAAAATTACATGGACAAGACGCATTAAATAAAAGATATTACTGACAGCTAGCCATCGTAGGCTCTATAACTACTGCCCATCTTATTTTATAAAATGATTGATTTAGCACACAAAACGCATTGTGCACGCATTTTCAAAGCATAGGTAAAACAAGTAATAGATGGTATAGCAGGTAAAATTATTTCCTTGCTACGAACATGATATTCATACTGTTATGACGTACATTACCATAGTTTATAGGAACCCGTCTCCTAAAATCAGGGTCCCATTTTATTAGGTGGTGCATAAACACGACAAAAAAAATCAAATTTTATCCCTGTTCTGCCATTAGACCTTTCCGAACACTTCAGATATAATGTCGGACCTCCAGAAAGAAGCCAGAGTTGAACTCATACACGACAGGCATGTCCTTCCTACTCAGCCTCATTCAGGCGTGATCCTAGCTAGCTTACTCCAAGAGATTTGCTTGAAATTTTGCAGCAGGCTACAACGCTGACAAAGCAAACAATGAGTAAATAAGGTAGTTCTCAAAACATAGATTTTTTTGAAGGAATATTCCCAAGGCAATATTTTGACAGCAAATGCCCATGTTTCTTGCCCAATCAGTTCTTTAGTTTATTAATGTCTTGATGAAACAGGGACTTTGTCCATTGCCAGTGGGTGCTCCCAAAGCAGTTGGATGTCTGGCTGGCTCACCACCAGCCAAAAGGCTGAATAAAACTGCAGGTGTTGTAGTCTGAAAGCTCCCTACCACCATCTCTGTTTTTGTAGGAATTTGGGGGGAATTTTGCTCTGTTTTCGGAGAGTTTGGAGGATTCTGTCCTAGTATGAGGCCAAAATAGTTACTTCTACAAACTTGAAAGTCTTCACTTTTAGTTAAAATGCCATTTCCCAGCAAGCTTTCCTGTATTGGTAAGGCTTGGGACATTACCTTTCCATGTTTCATTTAAATAACTCATATACTATATAACTCATATACTTATACTAGACATCTTTCTTAGATTTCTAGAATATCTGTACAAAGTATCTGTAAATACACACGCTGTGATAAACTGAGAGAGGAAGTGTGCTGGGTTTTGTGCAAAAGCATTGATTATATACTTATCCACAAACCAGGTCCAGAGAGATCAATACAAATTTAATTTAGAAAAGACAACTACGCTAGGAAAAAACATAGTTCTAACTCCTAAACAAATCCTAAATTGCCATTATAAAGAAAAAAATCTAACTGCCTTTACAAGGCATTTATAACAATTTCTCCTGGCAAAAACGAGAGTAAAGGAAACTATTATATGGGAAATAGTCAAGTCGCACATGGTATTGCTGTCCTCCTTGTACAGATATGTAAAATATAACCCAAGGAAGAAGTCACTTATTCCCGCGTGACCCAGCAATTACTTTTTGTTCCCACTGGCAAGCAGAAACACGTACGAACGGTTCCACCAAAACGGTCCAATGCGATAGGACAGAGACTGCAGCCCAGGAGCTTTCCCTTGTATGTATGAAGCGCCAGGTAGCTTTCACCTCACAGTGAACGTCACTGAGAAAGGCCCCAGACTTTGTTTTCTTGGCTCCAACGTGAATGAGCTATGAGCCACTGCAACTACAAGGGCTCAGTGGACTACATATAATTTTTTCCAACTAAGCTGAAAATCACTGCCTTCCCAATGCCCTGAACGTGCATTTTAAGTGATGCCAGACAGAGGCACACCTCCAATGCCACCAAGCCAGTAAACCTGAGCAGTTATCACCCATCAGCTGAGCAGCCAGCAGGTGCCCTCAGCTCCCGGCGAAGACGAGCGCGTTGGGCTCAACTGCCATGCAAAAGATTGCTCTGCCAATGGAGCAAGTGCTCGAGAGGAGAAGGTCAGTAATAGCACCTCAGCTGCCAAGCAGTGTTATTGGTCAACCTCAGCACCTCAATCATTTTTGTTCACATGCCGTAGCCAAAGATCACACTCAGGTGCTCCCATGCACACACCCAGGCCGTCACCTCCACTGAGCTGACTGGTAATAATTTCCCGAACTGCAATAACAGTACTGCCTGGGCACTCAGACCTTTACAGCAGATTTGTTTGCGTTGTTGAGAATTTTTTGGGGCAGCAACCCTCATTTATGTCCGTTTCAAGTGGCCTTCTGTCCCACTAAAAATCCTTAATGAAGAGATGGGCTTCATGATAAGATTTTCCCCACTAATTGTGGAAAAAAAAAGTCATACCCAGTAAACCTACAATCCCTTAAGGTATCTATTTACTGTAACTTGTTATGTTAATGGGATAATCAGTCCAGCATGGCTTTTCTAGGAATTCCTTGGAGAAATGTCTCCATTTCTTGGAAGATGGGTAATCAAGAGCAGCTCAATATTAAGACCAACGAGAAAAACAAGGTATTTTCAAATGTATTCATGTTTTGCCTGTTTAACATAGTAGAATCTTTTATGTTGCTTGTTATAAACAATGAGATCCACTTTCTAAAATACAAATGGACAGCATGTAAATGCATATTTCAAGACTCATGATAGTGTATGTAAGAGAGCAGATTAAATATGAAGAACAAGTACCAAGCTTCCTGGTTATTTCCTGACAGAAAGAATCAAATTGCAGTGCAACTATTAGCTTGCCATTCATCCACCCATAACGAGACACAGAACTAAAAATAGAAGCATTCCCCTCCAGTAAATGACGGTGACTCAATAACAACTTCTCCATCAGTCTAAACACAGGAGTAATCAAACATACACAAAGACACTTGAATTTATAAAAAACCTGTTAACAGTAAGTTCTATTGAAGAAATTGCAGGGAAACAAAAAAAACCTTCACCTAGAGATCTTTGATGTGTTTCACAAAAAGCTGGGGCGTAATTCCTTTGCAATTATTTTGTGGGCAAAATGTGATTGTCATCCGGCTTCAATAAGGAAAACCTGCAATTCCTCTCAAGCAGTGAAATCTGTGAGTACAGCTGAAATGCAACCAGCAATCCACCTCCTAGAGGCATTTGCCACACTTCAGGGGAAATTCTGGTTAGCCTAAGATGACCCAAGATTACATCACCCGGCTCTATGCGAGGGGTTAGCTTAGCTTTGCTTTCCAAACCCTCTCCGGGAGCATGACGCTTTCACTGGTGCCCTAACGCATCCACGAAACGGCAGGCATCCCAGGGACGTGCATCGTGCGTAACCGAACGAAGATTCGACGTCCTGCAATACGTATGCGCGTGTCCCGGCGTGCCAGCGTAAGCGTGCAAGTACTCAGCAAGATGTAAGAGCAACATATTCCCTCCTCCTTCTAGCCAAGATGGCTGCATCTGCCCTGCCATCGTCCTTCAGGCCGCTGTTTGCAAACTATAGGAGTTTTTTCTACATCGCTCTTGCTGCAATGGGACTGCTTCATACTCCTTCATTTCCAGTGGCAGCCAGGAAGCAAGTAACCGGGGCGTTCGTGAGCGTTGCCAGCGTACGACTGAGAGCAAGCCAAGAGATGGAGCACCCTGGAATTTGCCTCAGGGAAGTACATGCCCTTGGTGATTACTGTGCTCACAGTAATGGAGAGAGCGGAAGGCTACTTTCCAAACGCAGTGTACAGATGTTCTTTTGTGCATATAATAAAGAGAGCAGACAAGACGCCAATTTAACTTGACCAGCTCGTTACAGTAGCCACAGGAAGTTTCCAAAGTGTTAAGCAGTTCAGAGCAACTACTTTCCACGATCTCCTTTGCCCTCAAAAATATACTGCAGCTACCAATTTGCTTTGCTCCTGGCTGACAAAAGCACCAATTACCCTCAAGAAGTGCTAAGCAGAATGATTTTTGTCAACCTGCCTAACTTCAAAGGAGCCAGCCAGGCAGAAAAAGGTAACAGAGGAGGATCCAGCACCCAGGAGGGCGCTGAACACCCACGGAGTCCCGTCCGGTGCAACACCAGGTTGATCGTC